ACACACACAATATACATAGATAGTATACACACATAAAAGAATCAAGCCACTGTGCAATGTGTAACAATTAGTGAATAAATTAGGATGTGTGAGAGAAAGAGAAGGGGGGGAGACATCAGGAGGTTTCTAGGTCAGTGTGTCCACAAGAGAGTTTGTTCACCGCCATTTCCATCCCAAAGCTAGGTTTTGAGGATTTGGTTTTTTACCTGTCTACTTTGCTGTCACACCTCATCCCACAAATTAGAGGGGAGATCATCTGAATACTCAAGCTGAACTGAGTCTACTGAATCATTAGTGTCACTGACCGAGTCAGCAGCTTTTTACACCAGCTCACCTCGCCGGGGTCTTGTGTGTCGGTGTAAAGCTTATTGAAAGATTAGAAAAAGCCACAGAAACAGTGGATGTGATAACTCTGCTGCAGATGGTGGTTGCTGAGCATTAAACCTTATGTGACAATGCATAAACCCACTGGTTTCCAACCTGGGGTCTGGACCCCAACTACAACTTTTAAAATATACGGTAGGCTTGTAGCTCAGCTTTGCAAATGATTACTCTCTGCTAAACAGCCTAGTAAAAAATATGCAAATAAAACGACCCCAAGTATCAAGGCTAAATCCTTGGTGCTCAATATTACTCCTCCATGGGTTCTACTCCAACCTCTGGCCCTTTGCTGTATGTCATCCCCTCTCTCTGCCCCCCTTTCCTGTCACTCTACCACTGTCACTATCAGTTAATAAAAGCCTCCCCCAAAACAATCAAAGAGCTAATAAAACACACACACAGAAACACTGAATTTCTCAAAAAAGGAAGCCTATTAAGTATGTATGATTGTTCAAAATAAAATTAAACAAGAAATAATGTGAAAACATCCTGCAGTTTTTGCGTTCACTATTTCAGTTAATCGTACAGTTTATCAGTTATAATTATGCATTAAATATAAATAATCCCTAAAATATGGCACATAGTCAGGGTCATCAGTTAACTCAAAAATAGCAAAGGGGTCCTTAAGTAGAAAGGTTGGGGACCAGTGAGTTAACCTAACAAAATCGAACTATGTAGTCGATGACTGTGTGAATCTGACAGAAACTGCATGAAATGATTCAATTCCACTTCTACCACACATCACAAGAGGTCCAGCTGAGTATGGCTCTTTTATGAAATTGTTTAAAAACATCATTTTGTGGACAATGATTGGCTTTAGAGGAATCAGTGAGATGCAGATTGGGTGTGTGGAGGAGGGTTTAGTGGAAACAATGGAACAGCCACTCAGAGGATGCTCCAGTAAAGTGGGTTAGCAGGCCCTGTGGCTCCTGTCATTTTAACCAGCAGCCCAGATGAGGACGTGGCGTAGGATTTTCCTCTTGTTTCTTGTTGCTTTCGAGTGTGCAAATGTGAGTAATCCACCATGAGGCCGACAAGAGCAGAATTATGGGTAAACACTGAGTGCTGTATATGTAACTTTTTTAAGTTCCAGCATGAAAATGGTCCAATTTTCAAATCAAATATTAGACCAGATTTTTTGGCTGAAGGCAACTTCAGTCTAACTGCAGTCATACCAGCGTTTGCTTAAAAAAATACTTTAGTCAAAACTCCTTCTGGAGCTCTTCTGGCTGTTAGTGTTTGCACACAGTGGGGGCATCAGAAGCAAAACCAATCAGGAGCACATGTCAGGGCAGCATGGCATTTATCTTAGCTCTTCCCGAAAACTTGTCCCTATAATTAATGCCACGGCTGCAGCTAAATGTCAATTTGTGCACCCACACTCGATAGGTTTCTTCTCTGCACCCCATTTTGAAAGGCAGTCTTTCTTCCTTGGAGATAGAGTACAGTCTTCTGGAATTGGACTCGCCGGCTATGATAGCGTGGAGCTCATTACCAGCCTCATTTATCATCTCTCTCTCTCTCTTGTTCTCTCTCTCTTCCCCAGCTCAACGAGTTGTTCAGGAAGTCGGAAGTGCACAAAGACTTTATGAGCGTTCGTGTCCGTAACCTGTCCCCCAGCAAATCCATCCTGGCCTTTGTGGAGGCCCACTTCAAACCAGGTAAGAGATCTTTGAAGGGAGCAGAAGATTTGACAAAAAAAAAAATAAAAAACTCAAAAATGATTAAAGACAGTAGCTAATAAAGAGATATGTGGTTGGAATCAGTTATGGTTTGTTCTCCTTTGTCTTTTAGCACACAAGATATCTTAAAAATTAATTGCTGAATTTAAATGAAATTGGGATAAAAGTTAGGCCGTTGGCCAAGGAGGACCTCATTATGTTTTTTTGTGCAGAACAAGCCACAGTCACCATTTTTCCAACATTTTCATTTGTAAGTCCTATGTAAGGTAGAGATGCAGCATTTGTCTCTTCTGGCACACTATTCGTGTAGGGTTTCCATACCTTTATTATTTTTATTACTAGACATTTCATTCCATCTTCAATTGTACTTGCACATAGCCACTCTGAGTGGTCCTGCAAACTCAAATGGCTTTTTTCTATACATTTTGTCTTAATATATTATTAAAAAATGGCCAGTAGTCATGCTTTCCTTGAACATTTTGCTCCATTCATCCTTGTACAAAACATTACCAGGATTGGAGTCTTTTCCCAAAAATCATTATGAGGTATTTTCTGATACAGATCCAGAGGAAGGTTAAAAACATGTAATCATTGCTATTATTAAAATAATAAATGTAGAGGCTTGTGCATCCTTGGCAGAGGTATGTTGTCTTTGAGTGCTTTCTACTTATTTTTCATTTGGCTCATAATATTGTGAGCCGCTGAATTTCTTCCTTCTTTTTTTTAATTTTCTTCTCAATGCCAACTTAATCTCTTTCATGCAGCAATTTGCCCCTGTGTTAAAACCCACAATATCATAAGAAGGTTTTTACCTCTACTTAAATGTTCATATTTGTGTTTGTGTTATTCATCAGAGCGAGGAAAAGTTTTCTAAATGACCGCATCTGTGAAATTAGCACGTTGGTTACAGGTAAAGGTAAAATTTAAAACACGAATGGAACGTGCTCTAACTCTCAGATCAACTGACAGCTGTTTTAATACAGTAACAAACACTGGAAAACAACTCAAGTTGAGTTACTAATATTAAGGGTTTTGTATGTATATGAATTCAGTTTAGATTGATATGGTTGACACCACGGCTGGGCCTTTAAGCTCTTCTTTTAGCATCCCCCCTCACACCCCAAGCGCTTTTGTTTTTTACGAGCACCATTTAGCATCCTTCATACCCTTCATGCAGGGTGAGGGGTGCTGTTAAGCGGAGCTCCTCCATGGCCAGTAAAGCGAACATCTGTGGCAAACGTTATGAGAACGATTCATCTAGAAAGAAGCCGGACAAACAGCGGGTTGAGGACAAGTGGTCCCTGGAGTCCCTCCACCTGTCATACACAGGGCTGTCTGTTGTACCCATTGTACCACTAAAGAAGCTTGAGTAGTCCTGTATTTGCTGTGGAGTGCTCCTCAGTGGCCTCATCCTGAGTGGCTGTACCTCTTGTTTACTGTAGATACAAGATACACGGTGGAGGCCATCGAAGCATCCCTGCTAAAGCAGCTGAAGGCCTCCAAAGACACCAGCATCGCTGTGAAGAAGCCGGAGGAGGAGAATATTCGCTTCACCAATTATGGTAATAGAGTGTGGACTTAACAGGAGAGTGTGGGGATTAATAAAATGAAAAGGGGTTTTAAGTTATTCATGAGGTGATTTATCAAAGGTTTTACAGGTCTTGAATAGAAAATCTCAGGGCCGCAAGCTCAACATACTTTAACGTCTCTTTCTCTATTTTCCATTGTTTCCTCCGGCTCTGTTTACAGGCCTCTCTTCCATCCCCTTCTTCACCACCACTACCACCACCACGGCGTCAGTCACCACAGCTGCTCCCACCACCACAACCACCAGGCTCCCCCCAACCTCCGCTTACATCACCCGGCGCCCGCCAGGCACTACCCGCAGGCCTTACAGCAGCAGACGCACCACCACAACCTCAGTGCCAGTCACCACACCGCTACCCACCACCACGGCAGCTGTCAGCACCACCACGCTGCCTCCAGCCACCACCATCGCCCATGTCAGGGGCAAGCTTCACCACAAGACCCAGAAGCCCTGCAGCTCCCACCCCTGCCTCCACGGGGGCACCTGCGAGGACGACGGCACTGACTTCAGCTGCAAGTGCCCCGCCGGGCGAGGAGGCTCTGTGTGTGAGAAGGGTGAGTTTGTTCTCTTTATATATTAGGAACTATTTCTTTTTCCATATTTGTTGTTACTTTCAGATCAAAAGTTACAAAGCCTGAGCTTATTTTAAATTCATCTAATAAACAGTGCTAGAACAGACTTTCCCTGTAATATTGTACTATAGCAATTAGCAATTTCAAAGACACCAGCAAAGGCTGACGTTTACAGTGATTTTATAGCAACTAAGAGGATTTTAGGCACTCCACTTTCCATTGTGCCAATCATACCTTTTAGCTGTTCTATAATCACTGCTAACCACATCCTCAAGTGCTTTATTATATTTATAAAGTACCAGAAACACACCATTATAATAAAAAAAAATTAAAGGAATGTTTTATTTATTAAAAAACATATTCCCTCTGTTAAGCAGCAGTTTTGTCTAATTGTAGCTTTACAAAGTGGCTGCAAAGTGACACCTTAAGTAGCAGTGTGAGTAATGACTTTCAGTTAGTACTGGAATATGTAAATGCAGTGTTACGTGGTCACAGATGTGGATTTATTGGGTCGTTAAAAGCTCAACAAGACAACAGCAATGAGAGCTCAGGACAGAGATTTTTTAAAAACTTGAGAACAAAGAGTTGAGGTGTGATCGAGTCAGACAGAAATATCTCCTCGGCGGCTGCGTTTCTAACTCATCTCAAGTGCTTCAGACAGGTTCAGCACCTCAGAAGTGAGCAACTGCTGAGCCGTTCACCAAAGGAAACACAGACTCCAATCAGCACTGCAGAGAAAATCATAAATCAAGGAGAACTTCTTGAGAAGCACAACTCTTTTGTTTCTTCCCTCTTACCCTACTTTGAGATTTTTGGGGGAATGAGGAGCAACCTCACGCAGCTGCATCTTAAGATAATTGACACTAATTGCTTTGATGGGGATTAGCTGGTGAGAATCAGTGTGTGTCTTTGAGTTAGAGTGGCTAAATGAAATCACGTGCACACGCACACACACACAGACACACACCCACAAACAGCCACCGGCAGCCTCCCCCAGATCAATCAAGTCATTAGAAAAGAGGCAGCTCATCAGCTGCCATTCTCCTCAGAGAGACGGACAGAAAGACAGATGGACGGAGAGAAAAGGAGCCCGGGGGAGAAAATGGATGATAATAATCATAATTGTCGAGTGGCGGAAAAACAAAGGTTTCCTTTGCGCGTGTGTGTACACGGGCATGTGAATGTGTGTTGAGGGTGGGTGAAAAGCTCAGCTCCTCCTCTTTCTCGACCTTCTCCTTTTGATAAACTCTGCAAATCATCATTCCTAAAATAAACTAGACAGAAAGGCTTATTTCTCTATCATCAAGAGCCAGTGACACACCACCTCCTCATGCTCACACTTAATTATGCACATTAAACGCCTATTACGCCATGAAAAAGTAAGTCATGTAGTAATGACAGGATTGACTTGTTGTCTTCATTCCTCCACAGTGATCAAGTACTTCATCCCGTCATTTGGTGGCCAGTCGTACTTGGCTTTCCAAACAATGAGTGCCTATCACACAGTCCGCATCGCCATGGAGTTCAGAGCGTCCGAGATGACCGGCATCCTGCTCTACAACGGCCAGGATGGCAAGAAGGACTTCATCTCTCTGGCTCTGGTCAACGGCAGGGTGGAGCTCAGGTGAGCACAGCAGGAGTTGTCAGGCAGCGGCCTTGTCAGCCGTTGATTCTGCTGCTTGTTCTTTGATTAAACTTGATGAAACTTAAATGATCCCCTCGGGGGAATAGGGTCATTGCGGCGGCAGCTGAGAGAGGATGTAGATAAGAATAAAACAAATAGAGAGCGCTGGATAATGAGGCAAATAATTACAGCGAGTAAACATGTTGCAAACGCCACTGCCAGAAAATAAATAAAGACGCAGAAGCTTCGTGACAGATTTGCAGGTTGCGGCTATAAAGACATGCTTTCAGAAATATGTTAAAACTTTCATGCTATTCACATGATCACGTTTGCAGATGGCAGGAACATATGGACAGAAATATGTGCAGGAGGTCCAAATTTGGCATTTCATAAGTCATTTCTAATAACATATATACAGAGTTATGGTTTATGTGAAAATACACAGTGACATAAAAATGGCTCATAGATGCATTTGACTGAACATGCTGTACATAAAGACTGCAGTGAGGCTAGAAGCAACAGTAGAGTAGGACTTTCTTTATGGCAATATTGGGATTTTGCAGCTGGTTTATTAGATAATTAATTCAAGTATTTAATTCCTGTATTCCTACATAAACAATTTATCAATTAACTTTCCAGAAACTTTAGAAAATAGAAATATGTATTAATATTGCAACCTCAAATCACATACACTTTAATATAAGATTTAATTGTTTATTGGATTGTTTGCTGCAACCATTGTGTGTATGGTTATTTGAGTGGCTATTTAAAAAGAGTACTGCAGTGATTTAGTATTATGCTTCCATAAAATTGGGGTAATCACAAGAATGGTAAAAATCAATGCAGCATAGACCGAGATATCCTGACTTTTAGTCCCTAGTATAGCTCCAACTCCAAAAACATTGGATCTCCCGCCTCCCATAATTCACCTCTATAGTGTCATTTAATCTGTGTAATGGATCTGTTTACTGTTTGATTTGTAGGCTCAGTATGACTCCTTGTGACTAGTAAAATTGGTGTAGTGCCCCTTTAGGATCTGCAGCATTTGAACATGTGTTTTTTAAGGCTAGCACCACTTTTGAATTTGTAGGGCTAACAGTAACTGAAGGCTTCATCCAACCTGATTAAATTGGACCATTTTCCTGCCAGAAACCTGCAGAAATACTAAGTATTCATATCTTCCCCCGCAGTGGAATTGTATGCATAAAAAAATTATTCGGGGTAAGACGTCAGAAGAGACGTGAATGGACTAATTAGAGATTCTGCACAGCGTCCCCCCCCACCGCTTCCCTTATCTGTAGGGTCTCGTGTTTCACCCTGACCCCTCAAAATCCCTTTCAGTTCTTCCCAACCTGGCCAGGTTAGATTTCTCTATTCATAGCGAAATCAATACAAAACTAAAGGAGATCATTAGTCACTTGTGCTTTCAAATTGAGCTCTGCCTCAATTCCAGAAATACAGCGGTGAGATTACCACCCACCGCTCCGCAAATCCAAGACGTGGGGAGAAGAACTAATTATTTGTGGCAGATAATTGCTCTCAGGTTGTGCTAATACTACCATATGTGTGGGTGAACATACACCGCAGCTCTTTTCTGTCATGATGGCTTTTTTTCCCAACAAAACCTCATTAGATAAAATGTTTAATTAAAATATTTAATTAATTATTTTTTAAGTCAGTAACTGCCTCATTCTAGTCACATAGTTTGGAATCCCAAATGGGAAGTCTTGTATCTTCTTCCTTTCATCCTCCTCTGTCTCATGAGCAGATTTCTGCTTGTCATTAGGCGCCGTTGGATAACGAACAGACATATTGTGTGGAAAAGAACCTGAAAGTGTTGCAAACTAATATGAAGTTTGATACAGGTATAAAGTGACTAAATGAGTAAGTCTCTAACATGCTTCGTGTCTCCTCTTCTCAGGTTCAACACAGGTTCAGGCACAGGCACAGTGGTCAGCAAAGTACAAATCAATCAGGGACGCTGGCACCAGCTGGTGGTCACTCGCAACCGCCGCAACGCCATGCTCAGTGTGGACAACGAGTCGCACATTGAGGGCGAGAGTCCACACGGCACAGACGGCCTCAACCTTGACACCGACCTGTTCATCGGGGGAGTGACGGAGGAAATGAAGCAGGAGTAAGAGCTTCGATCTGCTGTTACACAATGTGATGATAAGATCCAGAGCAGGAAGCAAATCAGACAGAAAGTCCATTAACTCCACGCTTCTCTTAAATAAAATCCTTTCAGTCTGCAGCCTTTCATTTTGAATCCAGCACTTTGTCCATTTTGCTGACTAATTCTGATGTTGTTGTTACCTACATCTCTCATTGCCAGATTAACCCTGTGGGGGAAAAATTAACTGTGAATCATTTTAACTCATTTATTTAGAAATGGGCATTGTGCATTTTCTTTTCATTTCCCTCCATATTTCCCATGTAAATTTGCAGTTAATCAAATTACCCCAAACCAACTGACCTGGTGAATGTGGGACCTCCAGGGGCCACTGGCCCTTACTTACTTCCATTAGGTGGATCTCCAGTCTTAGTTGACTAAAGACATTTTTTTCAAGACACTGATCTCTCGTGAGATACAGTCACTTAAACTATCCTATCTTCACCTTTCATTATTCCAGCACTAGCTTTAGCAATTCATTGTTAAAATTAATGTTAGAATGTCTTGGATGTGCACTAATTGATGGTAAAGTATTCTCTTTGGATGAATTTTGGATCATCTGTTAGTCTTATAGGACTGTACTTGAGAGTCATGTCAATATACTTTAGATGAATCAGCTCTATATTTAAGCAGTTAATGAGATTTTGAACCGATGGGATTTGAACAGTCTTGGAAAAAGTAAAGATTTGAAGTCAATCAACAGCTGAAAAGAAACTAATAAGACTCAAATTATTCTTGGACCTCATCCCTTATTGTAATGTATTGAGGTATATTGCTGCATTAAAAGTATCAGAAATATTAAACAGCACACGGCATAGAAGAGCTTCTTTACTCCAAGCTCCGTGTTATAAAGTGAGGGTCAGTAGTGTAATAATTGCAACTGCAGGCTCTGTCAAACTTTGTGTTAAAAAAAGACATTACATTATTTCCCTTTATCTTTTCCTCTTCAGTGTGAAGGAAAGGACGGCAGTAGCCACAGGCCTGGTGGGATGCATCCGCATGCTGGATGTCAACAACCGGGTGCTCAACCTGCAGGAGAACGGCGGCGACAGTCTGTATGGCAGCTCCGTGGGTGAATGCGGCAACAACCCCTGTCAGCCAAATCCCTGCAAGAACGGCGCTGCATGCCAGGCCAAGGAGGCAGAGATGTTCCACTGCAAGTGCAGCAAAGGATTCTGGGGTAAGATACTAAACAAAAGGGAGCGTCATACTGGGATTTCTTGAAAGTCATGGAAGCTTTGAAAGGTTTATTCTCGGCCGTCACAATAACTACGATATTGACGTACTATATATGCGTTATTGATAAGATGTCACCAACATTTGGGCCAGCATGATGCGAGAATAAAAAGCACGGTTTTCCCTACCATCACTATATTGCCTGATAAAGAATGCGTGGCTCTATAGCTTCCCCCTGTGCCAACAAGTGCAGTTTTTGTGAACAAAGCCTAGTCCATTTTATTTATTGTTTTTGGTTGTTTTGTTTTATTTATCAAGGCTATTTTAAATCTTTTTCCAAATTTCAGTGCCTGAGTCTATTGCTCTTTGAAAGGGTACATTTGCATTATTGTGATTATCATTATATCAGTGGCACAAAATGGTCTTAAAAGGGCAATAATATCTTTTATCGCAGTTATTTCTAGGACAATCTATCGTCCAACATAAGTAGTTATTGTGACAGAACAACTTTATTCCAGTGTAAGTAACAAGGGAATAAGTAAAGGATATATTCATTCTTATGTGAAATTTCCAGACTTTTCTAACAACTTGTTAAAATTATGTTCATGTCTCTACTTTGCCTTCTCTTCTGGGATTCACTGTGGTCAGGACTTTCTCACAAATCCTAAGTAAGCTTGACAGCCTAATTTGACAGTGTAACTCATGCCCCAGGCAGGAGCGCTGGAAGTCATTTTGTAAACACCAACACCATCAAATATGTGCGTCCAGCAGAGAAATGAGAGATTAAATGTTGACACGGCGCAGAAAACATGAAAACTTCCACCAAATGCTCAGTGAATGGCCTTTGGCCTATCTCGTCTTCTACATCCATTCCTCCTCTTTTTTCTCACTCCAGCAGATGCCAACTAACAAGCAACTCAGAGAGAATATAGTTAAGAGCAGACACCATCAGGGCTTAGCCAAGCATGCCCCTCGCTGGTTGTACAGTCTGCTGCACAAAGTTTCACACCAGAACCAAATTAAATGTCAGAGTTAACTTTTATGCTGGAATAGTAAAGGGTTTTATACTCATATGGGGGCAGCTCAGTGGTTAGGGAAACCACATTTTAAGTTTTAAGAGCCATTGAATTTAAAATGTGGATCAATAAAGTATCACATTACATTATTATTGCCTTTTATATAAGAGGTGCTTTTATGTTTTGTTGTTATTAAGAAGCCCTGGAAGAAGCAAAGATAATGCTCCACTCTGAAGAAGCATTGCTGTGATCAAAGTTGTGTTGGCAACATGGCGTAAAAAAATGGTGATAATGAGAATTGGACGGTCGCCTGCAGACTCACATTCAAGTTAATTTTGTCATCATGTCAGTTTAGAAAGTGGCAGAGATTACTGGCCTCAAAGGGGGGGGGGCAGATCACACAAAGCGAGAAAGAGAGAATAAATGTGTGTAGAGAGTTGTAGTTAGAGAGAGGACATGTCAGGACAGCCTGATGAATGAGGGGGGGTGAGAGAGTATTAGAGCTAAAAAAAAGATGGGAGAGGAGGAAGAGATGTTAAAAAACAAGCTGTGGTAGGGAAGAAGTGAGAGCGGAGGATAAAAGCTAGCTTCCAAAGGCATGAGTGAGGAAAAACGGGGGAGCCCTGTGAGCTCAGCGGGGATGGGGTTCATTAAAGCGCTCTCCTCACCACAGGCTCTGACTGCTAAAGTAATGATGGGTGAATTCAGATGGGCTGTGGCAGAGGGCAAAACCATCATCCACCAGACGCTACCGAGCCTTTCCCACAGTCAGCGTTGGCCCAGAAACATGGCCGCATGGCGGGGAGTCTCTCCACTGTTTAATCTGGACGTGTAATATTTCTAAATCCTATTAGAAAATGACCTCTATTACAGAGGAAATCCTCATACCCCGCTTCTCTCCCCTTTTTTTTGTCTCCCCCTCCTCTCAGATGGAATAAAAGAGAAAGTAGTTGAAAGCATTTGGTGGTTTTCTCATTGTGGATTTGTGTGTGTCTCCAGGTCCAACTTGTGCTGACGTCCATGATCCATGCGAGCCCAACAGGTGCCATCCATCCTCCCAGTGCCAGGCGCTGCCCGAGGGAGGCTACAAATGCGAGTGCCCCATGGGACGTGAAGGGCGGCACTGCGAGACAGGTAATCCGACTAAACAGTGTATATCGTGGTGTACTGTCAGGGCCCAGTTGTTCTCTTAAGTGCTTATCAAGGAGCAGCAGTGTTTTTGGTCTAGTTTGCCTCTTTTTGTGTTTTTTTCTTCTTCTTTCCGCTCTGTGACATTTCCATCCATCCTGAATCGAAAAGTGAGATCAAACGGAGAAAGACGGGGGGGGGGTTGAGCCCTTCAGGGTGGGAGGGATGGGGAGGGTTGGTGGTTGCAGAACTGGAGGTAGGATGATTTGCCCGTCGGGCCATTCACCACATCGGACTCGGGCAGCGCCTTGTTAGTGGTAAGCGGCATCAGAGACGCATTTTCCTCCAACTCCCTCCCTCCCTCCCTCCCAGCCTATCCGCCCACAGGTGTTGTGTTCAAACATTGTTGTTGCTGCTTAGCTCCACATGGCAGAACCGGGCCGCGGCTGGGGAAAAGACCAGAGCACGGCTCAGCTGCTTTTGAAGTTCATCATTAGCACTTTTGGCAGTGTCGCATTCTGAAGTCTACCCGTGGTTTTTCCCTCCCTGGCTTTGTAGATGTTGTCGTGACTGTTTGCAGAAGTGAAGTTGACTTCTGTAACTGTGAATGAAAGAGAATATACTGTCATGCACGTTCCAAACAAAAGAGAAACATGCACCCTCTGCACCCCCACGATTTTGGAAAAACCAGATGGGGATCGCCTTCTTCCAAGCCCCGAGTCCCAGTTAGCAGGTGATTAAAATAAATTGAGGTGAACCGAAATCAATGCCGTGTGAGCGAGAGCGTCTCCCCTTCCAAAAGGCTATTTTTTTTTCACAGGAATCAATGAGATGACTAATCGCATCAGTCCTCCCTGCCCGCGGTGATTTATGGGAGCGTCAGTCAGCCAGAGTGTCAGCCCCAGACAGGAGCTCACAGATAAGGCGGCAGTCAGGCGGACGTACCCTCTCAGGGCTGCACTGAGAACAGTTAAAACGACAGGTAGCTTAGAGCCCACTCATCAGACGCCTAAAGATGAATTAGTCATAACATTAAGTGTGTAACCTACTGTGTGTGCGCGTTCAGTTGAGCAATGGTTTCCATTTCAGTTACACCAGGGTTCGTCGGCGCAGCTCGCTGCTATAATATCCACCATCAAGGGCTTTTCTCAAGGGTGTTCCAATAGTATTGAATGGCCTACTTTTCTCTGTGCTTTTACCCTGTGATAGTGTAAATCATTACAATTTAGTGATGAAAACCGGATCACTTAAACTCAGCCGGTCCTTGAACACCTAACTGAAGGGGCGAGTTTAAATTTCAACTTTTTACATTCATCACCTTAGTTAGAATAATCCAGGGGCCAGCTAATGCGTGTGTGCCTGTTTGGGTGTGTGTGAGGGAGATGCTAGATGCAGTAGCTCCTTAAGTATTGCTTTAGGAGGGTTTATTTCTGAGGCTTTTTACCAAAAGATAATTGTGAAAAGTTCCAACTTGACCGACTTTTTTTGGTCGTCAAGCTCTACTCGTCATGTGGCTTTTTCTGGTCACCTAGCTCATTCCAATGCCCGGACCTCTGGTGACTTATTGATCACGCTGCTTTCATTTTGAGCAAAGGGTGAAAGAGAGTCTCCTCTATAAGAAACTACATTCCGAGAAACTCTCTCTAATAGAGTTCAGTTTAGCGCACGAATCCTTGTAGTGAGACTATTTTTCCCTCTCCTCCATGGTGCGTGCCATCATCATTAGCAGTCTTCTGCACAATAGCTAATTAGCTTTCTCATCTCCGTCTGCCTTCCCCATCCTGACTCGACTCTGCTAATCCCAGCCAATTACGAATAAAAGCTTTCTTGCCGTCTACATAGGTATGTGTGTTAGTTTGAGTGTGTATATGTGTGTGAGCGTCTCGTTTTGCATACGCCTCTGAATGATGGTAGTTTTTGCAAACAACACCATAAACACATACCCCCGGGTGACACTTGAATGATTTTTAATGTCAAGCCACTTGTTAGAAGGATGGCACGGTGCCTGTCCTAATCACTGCAGACAGCCAGAAACGGGACAGCCAGACGTAGACCCATCGCAAAGACATGAATTTGTAAAAAGGCCTGCCAAAATACAATGGCTGCATTATTTCATGGGTCCCGGCTGTGGTATTAAACTCATGTCTCCAAAGGTTCTTTGTTATACTGTGGTGGGCTGTGTAATCAGTCTGACATAAGGGTTTTTGAATTTTTTTGTTTGAATTTCTGTCAAGAGAAAGTCTTAATCCCAATAGCTATGAAAACACAAATCCATCTCTTTCCATAATGCTGACAGGTCCCTCAAAAGATATACTGACTATCCCCGAATTTCAATTCTGTCAGCAACACAAAAACGCGACCTGAGGATGAATATATTCTCTTTGTTTTTCCAGTGGCTGAGAGGACAGGGGCTTACATGCCACTATTCAGCGGAGACTCTTACGTGGAGCTGAAGGGACTCCATCTGTACGGGCACGACCTGCGGTAAGTCCCATGTCTCTGCGTGAAACCCAATACTTGTATGTATTACTAAACACAAGATAGCATGTGCCTAAGGCAGAGCTGCCTTGTTAAAGCCTGAACTGAAGTGACAATGAAGGTTACACAAATAACACGTTATCTAGGCCTAAGCACGTAGAATATATAGTATACTCTACCTAATTTCCATATAGAAAGAGTACTGGCACACCTTAAACAAGCATCCTTTGCTCTATCTCGGGTACGTATAGTAGTGTATCTCTGACTCTTGCATGTGTTTACTGGCTTTTCTTGTGCTGTGCCTGCAGTCAAAAGCTCAGCATGACAGTGATTCTCATGGCCAATGACTCCAACGGTTTAATCTTCTACAACGGCCAAAAATCGGACGGAAAAGGAGACTTCATCTCACTGTCCCTCAATGACGGGATCCTGGAGTTCCGCTACGACCTGGGGAAGGGACCCGCTACCATCAGGTTAGCATGATCTAAAAGGGTTTAACTTACACAACCAACATCTTGCTATAATCCTATAAAATTACATTTGAACATGCTACACATTAAAGGACATACTAAACACAGCAATGTGTTTTTAATGAGCCCATGTTTACTAGTGTATGACTCACCTGAGTATGTGCAATTCAGGAGTAAGGACCCAATCCAGCTGAACGTGTGGAACACCATCAACCTGGAGCGCTCCAGCCGCAAAGGAGAGATCATGGTGAACAAGAAGGACCCTGTCCGAGGGGAGGCACCGGTGAGAAAGAGCAAGCTAACAAGCTGCTGCTAATGGTTATCTTGCTTTTAGCATGAAGGGCTGATGGGCCTATTCTATGCTAAGCCTTGCTTGTCCCGTATATATTGCATTTGTTTGATCATCTGCGTGCTCTTTATCACGTCATCGCCACAACCTTCGGGCTTTAGTGCTCCTTTTTGCCCATGTAAAGGCAGTTCAACTTGCCACTTTAGGCGCAGTTAAATCAGCAAGCCTTCCCCCTTTTGCTGAGGTTTTTCACACCACGCAGTACTGCCAGCTTGATCTGCTGAAAATACGCCTCTATCTCCCGCCATCCGTCAAGGTAAGAGGGAGAGCTCCAGATGTAGAGGGCCAGGTTGACAAGCTGTCTTAATTTTAGAAGTCCTGTAATTCCAAATTCCATCTTTCAGCTTGCTGACGTACTGGAGATAAAACTTGGTGTTGCATACAGAAAGCAAAAGCAGCTTTTACTGCTGGTATACAGTCAATTTTATAAATTCAGCCTTTGAGGTGGTGTCTGGGGATGTGGAGGCAGATAAAGGAGATAGCAGCAACGAGAAGAGCGTAATGAAACTCTTCAGCCCCGCGTCTCGACCAATAAAGCAGGTACATGCTTCCAAATGAAGGCGATCTAATAGCTTGATAAGCCTGTAAGTCATCCAATTATATTAAACAGTGTAATTTGTGATTATGAACATGCACTCTGTCAACTCCATCATCTTCCTCTAAGACGCAACGCTCTCCTCCTTTTTTTCTCTCGCTGCTCTGTCCTTCCCCCACTGCCTCCCATCGTCCGTATGATAATTGTGTTTTACTCCAGCAACAGAGGCAGAAAATCTTATTAAAAGAGGAGAGCAAGGGAAAAGCAAAGATGGGTTGGGGGGGTGGGGGGCAAGGGATGAGCTGAGACTAGTTATGGAGCTCAATGCAGAGAGCCCATCCAGTATGGCTCTCAGCTAATTCTCTCCTACTCCTGCTTTAAGAACTAGGAGGGAGTTATAGTACGCTTTGCTCAGAGAGGCCTATATCATATCAAAGGTGGACACACGCAGGCACATGTATGGGTACATACTGCATGCTGGGAGTGTTCATCATATCAAATACAGCTCAGTCTGCCAGCATGATGAAGTATACTTTCAAAGGCACATAGGCACAGATAGGAGATATAAAAAATGTACTTCACCTCTCACTGAATGGAAGTAGTCTGTAAATGAGGTTGGGTTAAGTGGCACTATTCACCGTCTCTCATCCATGAAGTTTTTTTTTTCCTTTTCATCTTTTCTCAGTGGCACCATCTGCTTCATGCATGGCCTTCTTCGACTTGCTGTCTAATTTGTAGTCACTCTCCTAAGTGTTAACACACTTGCGCAGTTTCGTGGTTGTTTGTGTATGTACAGTTTATAATGCAAAGGTGCACTTCACATTTCCCATATTCTTATTTAATGGACTAATCTCACTTGTCTGTGCTACACTGCAGCTATGTTTAATGCTCCTACAGATGTGCACAATGCGTATATGTGTGTATGTGAGTGTGTTTTGTGGGGCTTTTGCACTTGCCTAGCTCTGCATGCCTCTCTGTGCACCGACACCTACTAGTCTTCCCCTAATAACTCTCTTCCTCCCTATTTTCTTTTCTTCTCTATGATGTGCTGTCTGGAAATAAGAAATCACGCAAGGTAATGAGACAAGTCCCAGTCACACCTTAGCCCATATTTCATTTGAGTCGTTCACTACGTCCTCTCACCCCCATCTCTCCATGCAACAACAGCACAGGAAAAAAAAGGTACTTCTGCAGAGCTGCGGGCAGCTTCAAAGGTTCCAGTTCTGTAGAAAAACTTTGCCATTTCATAAGCCCCATACACGCACACACAAATGGCACTGAAGTAAAGATGCTCTTAAAGAACACGGTTTGGCTTGCACCTCGGTCCATCTGCCGTGGGGGTGGAAGAGGGTGGGAAGGTGGGAGGAAAGAAGGAACGGTGACAGTCATCTTTGTAACTGCCATTGTTTTTAGCAACAAAGAAACGTCTTCATTAGTTCGGCGTAGGCGGGGATATCACGCCAATGCCGCGTGGCTGTCGAAAAGTGAGAGCGAAGGCAGGGGAGGCGAACGAAGGGGAGGAAATATACCGTAGGAGACGGTGAGGTGCCAAGCCAAGCCGTGCTGTTCTTTTGTCATCTGCTCTCACTTCTTTTGGAAACGGGAACAGTCCTCCATAATATCACAAAGTCGCTCACTCTTTCACCACTCACTTGCCCATATCAACACAAAACCAAGCTCACCAAACATCACTGAGCAAGAATCACTCCATAGAACCAGCTGTCCTCTCTCACCAGGTGCAGATGATCGCCTGTTTTAAACAGAACAGAACATGATGCACCATTTCATTGCATGCAATCTCACTTTAGAGTCTTACAAAAGTAACTTTACATATGCTCGGTACCACATTCTGAAGGTGTAACATCTCAGGACAAGATCAAAAACCACAAGTACAGGGGAACGGGGTCAAAATGCATCTGTAACTTTCACCTGCAGAGTAAGTGAGTGTTGCAGAGCAGTAAGGTCTACATAAAGGAGCCTGAGGGGGCCAACTGTGCCCTGCAATCGGTAAAAACTTTTGGCTGAGCCTAGAGACACCGGCCACAGCTGGGTCCACCAGCTTTGTGGCCAAAGTTGCCACCCTGTCTCTGTTGGAAGCGGCTCAAGGTGCAGTGACACAGCCCCGGGCTTCAGCCAAGCACCGCTGCCTCCTGCACTCCAAATCCCATCCTAAATAAAAGCCGAGCCGGTGCCAGCTTGCCTGCACAAAGCCTGTTTATTTGGCCCCTTCCATCATTTTTCCAGCAATTAACTCCACTTTACCCCTCTGGCAATTACTGCTCTACATAAAATAAAGATCATTAATTCCTTCCTTCTGAAGTGGGCCGACTCCTCCGTGCAAAAGAAGGAACCGGCACCTTGCTAATGCAAAGCAATTGTCCCAAAGGTTTAGTGGAAAGAATCGAATTTCATAGCCGTCTGCCGCGCAAATGAATTGCAATTAATGTGTCTCCACACTCAACTGTTTGAAAGGTCGGGGCTTATGATCAGCCATTCATTAGAGATGTCTGTAAAGAACCAAGTCCAGCCTGCTCCTGATTTGCCTTTGTAGTCCCTTTTTATGTCTCATAGATAGAGGATAATTGACCGCTCTCTCTGAGAGACATAGAAATCAATTATGTTGTAATGTATCAAGTGTATTGACGTGGAAAGAGGGCGAGGAAGTGCAGTTAAATCGTCTGCCTGCTACAATATGGATAAATCCTTTTTTTTTTTTAATGGAACAATCTATATGACTGCGACATGTCTGCAAATGTGGTTTGTTTATCTCACTCTATATATCTCAACTAAGAGGATACAACTTATACCATACTCCCTGGACACATAACTCACTACAGTAAAAGCATAAACCATTACATCCTAAACAGAAATCCCCAGAGAGACATTGCAGATGGATAATAGAAAAGACTAAATTGGGCATTTTTAAAGATGTATGTAGAGCTTATTTTAAAGTTTGCATGGCTCTAGCTCACCAGTTGATACCTCCCTGTGTCCTGTCTCATCAGAACCTGCACACAGAGCTTAACCTGAAAGAGTCTCTTTTTGTCGGCGGAGCTCCCGATTACAGCCGGCTCGCAAGAGTCGCTGCACTTACTGATGGCTTCAAGGGAACAATCCAAAAGGTAAATGTTTACAAACCTCTTTTTCTTGAAGAAGTTTTGTGTCATCAGCTCTGCCTGTGCTTTCGACTAATCTATATGTGTTATTTTAATGAATCGGGGCCCTTGTGCCCTCGGATATACAGCAGCAAATTCAAATGGTAAGTTATTAGCCTGTCCAGCTGTCATACTACAGAGCCCCATAATAGTAATTTTCCATTATAAGCTCACACTGTGACGGGCAGTGACTCTGCTCATTTGGATTAGCATGCACTAATAATAGAATGCACATTTTGAAGTCCCTCCCTTTCGCTACTCTCAGATCTTTCCCTGACAGCCTTCCAGTTTTTTTTCCTCCACTTTCCAGCAAAAAGCTCATCTCTGAGTGCCAAAAATAACCCAGTAGAACAAAGGGAGGATGTTACTGTTTGTGCAAACTTGTCATTAGTTCTCCTCTGCAAACTTTCCCTTGACAGTTTTTGAGCAAATCAAAAGCTAAATGTGGCGTTTGTCTTACTTGGCCTGTAGGGAATAGTTAATTATGAGGAATACGGGATGTACTCTCAGTTTGATGTCCATGTTTAACATGTGTGTTGTGTCGACATCTAATTTAAAGAGACATTTTCCTGTGTGGTAAAAATGTCATATCTACAGGAAGAACATGTTTAAAAGGAATTCACGGTATCGCTGTACGCTGTTGTTTGCTCTGAGGATGTGTTGTGATAATTAGCTTTAATGATCATTCAGCAAAAAAAAGGGAAAAGCCCCATAATTTGATGCTTTCCTTTGGACAACAACCAGGAGTAGGAACAAATGATTATCTTCAAGTGTTTTGCTAAGGAGAGGAAAATTAAATCAGATAAATGTGACAACAAAAGCAGTGAAAAGCAAGGCAAGAATCATAAAGGTAACCCTCCAAAAGTAGGTCAAAAACAATTAATATTAAAACTGTTATGTAAATACAAGTCTATGAAAATAGCTTTTAAGAAGTGATTTATGAGATTATACTCAGCGGTCTAATCTTTCAGGCAGGTTGGTTCAGAATTTAGGAATAGAAAAATCCAGCCTGTATTTTAAAACCAGGCATATAAATTGAGCTTCTGGGGTCTTCATGTCTCACCTACAACCTACTTTTTTGACTGGGGGGGCACTGACTTATGCAGGGCTGGCATGAAGTATGTATCTCACCTTTCCAGTCATTCCCACTTTATGCAATTCCAATACTGTTCATGGACCCAAGGATGCAGGAATATTCAGATATCTTGAGGTCAGAGGTCAAGGGATCCCTTCCCAGGCTCTGAAAGCCAGTGTGGAGTGGAAGAGGTAAGGATAATGGGGTGGCCATTTCAGGGATCTCTTTAACCCTGTGTTTTCTGCTCCCAGATCATTCTGATGGGTACCCCCATCCTCAGAGAGGAGAACGCCATGCGCTCTATCAACATAGCCATGTTCCAGGACCATCCGTGTTCCCAGGAGCCCTGCCACAACGGCGGCCGCTGCAACCCCCAACTTGACACCTACGAATGCGTTTGCCTCAATGGTTTCTCAGGGGGACGCTGTCAGAACAGTGAGTATCCCACAGCCATTTTACATCTGTCTTCATCCTACTTCAAGTCAAAGAGCCACAGGCGATCTTGATGCCAACATTTATTAGCCTAAATATATTAAATATCACATGGACGTGTAATCCAGTGTGTAGCAATACTTGCTGGCTTGAGATCACCTTTTAAAGGCAGTGTGAAATTGCAATGAGAATTTTCTCCGCCAACATTATTTGGTTTTACTCTAAAAGGATATGTGGCAGCATTTTTGCTGCTTTATAAGCGTAGAATGAGTGGGACTGCAATCAGTGATACCGGTGCTTTATGCAATAACACAGCTTGGCTTGCATCACTGGTAGGTGAATTACTAGGCTATGTTTTTTCTGCTTATAAGATCTTTCCATTGTGTCCTGCGTGAGTGAGAAAACAATGAAATGATGATGAACAATGATATTAGACCTATGATGTATCTTTTATGCTAGGGTTATTGTGTATTGATTTCAAACTTAAGTGGCAGTTATGAAAACGATGAAACGTGTCAACTAAATATTCATGAAATGCTCTTTTAAAGAGTTGCACACCCTTTTCATCATCATCTTCCCCATCACTCTACCAGACATATACTCACTCTGGCCCAATCTGTCTTACATACTCAGTCACTGCCTTTGCCATTAACCTTGCCCGTGTGGCCGCCTGTCCCTTTCACGTTAATTAAAAGTACAAATGCACCATCAACCCCCCCCC